TGCATGACATTTGAATTTTGCTAAAATAAGGATTTGAAATATTTGATGAGTTTGTATACAAAGTCTAATTTTTTATATTTTAAAATGAATGTTTGAACAAAATTTGAGATTTGAAAGGTATTATTTCTAAATAAAAAGAAAAATTTGACAATTTTGATCAAATTTGACTTAGATGTGATGAATTGAATTATTGGTTTTTATAAATCTTGTGAGGCAAATTTGAAAGAATCAAAAATACAGCAAAAAAAAACACAATACAAGATTCATAAAAAAATTTTAAGAGAATGATCAACAACAAGATGCTCCGTCATTTGAAAACAGTAATATGTACATGTGATAACGATAAAAAATGTTTGCCAAGTTTATTCATGTTATCAATTAGGTAATGAATAATATTTTTTTATCATGTAAACCCTTTAAAAACAATAAATAAAACCTAACGTATTTTATCATAATCATTTGACTGAATTTCAAATTTTTTGTATGTAAATTTCTATATTTAATTTCAAAAAAATAATTGCATTATTCATGTGCATGATACTGCATATTGAATGAGTATTATTTATGTAATTTTTGATGGCTATTGATAGTGTAATATTATTTACAAGACATGTGTTTTTGATTATTTTTCTAAAATTGCTATAAAATCTTTGTGTATGAGTTTTTTGATAATTTCATCGCAAATTCAAGCATTGTTACCAAATATTAATATTTAGTTGACGATTTTTTGGCTATGTTATCTTTATGGATGCAAATTATGGAGTAAATCCATATTATTGTATATAAAACATGTCAATTTTAATCAACATGAACAAAAAATTTTGGGATTTGAGTTGAAAATATTCAAAATTCAAATATATTGTAAAATTGCTTTACTAAACATTAGTATAGGTTTGATTTGTTGTTTGTATCAATGCAAATCCTTGGTTTAATTGATGGATCTTAGGTATGAATTTGATTTTGAACTACTATTGAAGTTGCGATTGGTAGCTTAATACTGCTCATGAGTTTATCAAAAGATTTGATTCCAGAAAGTATTGTACAAAATCACAAAGGTTGAATCATTGATTGATGTACATAATGTTAGTTTGTAGTTTTGATCACACATACATTCTAATAAAATATTTTTTCAGTTAACTTTGAATTAGCTAGATCTTGACAAACATTTCAATGATGATGTTGGTTAAATCATATGAACATGATATGTTTTTAAAAAGTCCTTTTTCATTCTTGTTTGAAGTTGTTCAATATGATAATCTTCACAAAAAACATATTGGATAAAAACATGTTACCAAGGAAGACAACACTACATTCTCAAAAAATAAATGAATTTAGTGTATATATATATATATATATAAATCAAGATTAATTCAAAATGCAATATTCAAATATTTGTTAAAAAAATGTGAAAGATTGAAGAAAAATGTATTATTTGCTCAGTTCACTCATACACAAAAGTAGAATAAATATATATAGTACTGAAAATGTTCAAACACTTGCATTCTTCACCGGACTTTGGGTTGGAGAATCGCGTGTAGACATCTCATTTAGCATGTTGCAAATGTGCCAACCTTGGATAAATAATTTGGCTGTACATGTGACTTTTACACTCTTAGAACATTTTAAAATTTTTGCACACAATAATCGGCTTGGAATTCTTATTTTGCAAATTTGTTTCAGAATTTTTGATGATAGAAGAAGATAATTCCATATAGTTTGTAAGTCTTTGGTCACAAATATGGATGAAATCAATCTGAAATGGTCATGTCAATGTGACTTGAAATAACTGAAGTAACTCCCCTTTGTCTGTGTATGAGATGCAAGGTAGCTTCGTTCAACCCTCTACAAGCAAAAACAAATCTCGTTCACGTAAGGATGCATGCATGGATCATTTTCCGTCATTCATTCGACTTCTCTTCGCGATAATGAGGTACGAACAAACTGTTATACTCATGAAGTCCGTTAGGTAAGGTATGAAGACGCTTGGAACTTCATGATATCGATCAAATGTGAGAAACAAAGTCAATTCAAAATGCCTACCAGTGTACCCACGGGCTCAGATGCCGAAGAAATCACAGCCACTAGAAGCGAAGCGAGGACAAGGACAAAGGTCCCACAATGAGCTTGTTTTAGAGCAACGATGGATTGCAATACAGAGTTAAATCTCCCAATAGTGTCACCTCTTACGATGGATTGCAATACAGAGTTAAATCTACCAATAGTGTCACCTCTTACGGGTGACGTAAAATTCTAGAAGCATTAGTTTCTAATTTGTAATTCTGTTCAATAAGAATTGTACGTCACTATTCTCAATAGTGACATGATACTATCCAATAATGACAATTTTAAGTGTAACTTTGGAATAAAAATTCCTATCATGATCACAATACATAGCTATGAGACTTGAAAAAATGTGACATAAGTTTGTTTAAAGTCATATCTCAACAATTCACTTATGAGCTTCAGTAAAATAATTCGCTACATATATTATCATCAATTGTTTCACTTAGACTTTTGTGTATAAATCTGAATTCAAACGTAATTATAATGTCTACGTTAATCGCCATGAACAATATAGATGTGAAAATAAGACGAAATTGAAACCAAACAAGATATTTATAGAATGTACTAGTACTGATGTAATGCACGAAAAGAAATCTATGAGTTTTTTTTCTTATAACTAACACCTCTCAATAGTGACATCTAAACCCAACACAGATGTGAAAATGAAGACGATTTTGAAACCAAACAAGATGTTTATAGAATGTTCTAGGATTGATGTAATGCACAAAAACAAATCTATGAGTTTTTTTTATTATAACTAACACCTCTCAATAGTGACATCTAAACCCAACACAGATGTGAAAATGAAGACGATTTTGAAACCAAACAAGATATTTATAGAATGTTCTAGGATTGATGTAATGCACGAAAACAAATCTATGATTTTTTTTCTTATAACTAACACTTCTCAATAGTGACATCTAAACCCAACACAGATGTGAAAATGAAAACATTTTGAAACCAAACAAGATATTTATAGAATATCATAGGATTGATGTAATGCACGAAAAAAAAATTGAGTTTTTTTTTCTTATAACTAACACTTGTCAACAGTGACATCTAAACCCAACATAAGGTACTACGAGTATGTTATATTAAAATCAAAACCTAATATCAATATATGTCACTATTGGGAGGTTTAACTCTCTTACAAAAGACCGGGTCTTCAGGATTCCAGGTCATTACTCCAATCATAACTCATCCATATGCGAGCATCATCCAATCTTTACTCCTTCATGCCACTGCCAAATTGGAAATCTGGCAGCATCGTCCTGCATCCTGCAACTACAGTACAGAGTTTCAACTCCCAATAGTGTCTCCTCTTAGTAGTGACATCCTTCCAATAGTGACTTAAAAGTGAAGAACCATTGGGTCCTAGTTTGAAAATCTATCAAATAAGAACGGTGCGTCACTATTTTCTAATAGTGACATAACATCTCAAATAGTGACCGTCGTGGCACGTGGCAAATATTTGTCACATGTTTCTACATTTTCAACAAAATTATTCCACATCATCGACAGAGTTCGTAGTAAAACTTCGGAGCATTCTTCATGAACGAGATGTACTCAAAGTCAAACCTCGTAACATAGTTCTTAATAGAGTTTCGGAGGAAAATTTCAGAGCATTCTTCACGAGCTAGATGTCCTCATCGACAGATCTCGTAACAGAATTCATAACAGAGCTTCGTAAGAAAACTCCAGAGCATTCTTCACGATCTAGATGTCCTCACCAAGAAATCTCATGTCAGTGTGTCAGTTCAGAGCCAGATGTTATGCCATCACATAACTCTTTCTTTCTCTTTTTCTCTTTGTAGCAACATGTAAATGTAAATATTTCTGAAGCTTTCATGTCAGATTAGATTATGTTTGAACATGTTTGAAATTCGTGAATGTCAAGGCTCACTAAGGGCTGTGAAATCTGTATCCATGAAATTGTCTCAGGATGTGTTAGGGATGTCGGCAGAGTTTCTATTCCGCCCGGTCGAGCAAAAGGAAGAGAAGATCTGTCTTAAGGTTCTTTTGGTGGAGAAAAAACGCGCCAGGCAATGAACTTGAAGAAGTTTGTGGCACGCGTGGACCACTTTAATGTCGTACACGTGTAACTCTATAGTTCAAACCCTGAAGCTACAAAACCTCCTCTAATTGACACTTCCAAGTAGTGACCCTTAAGTGTAGGACCCTTAAGCAAGTGACCGGTATGCCTCACTATTGGGAGGTGAAACTCTGTATGTGAAATTGTAATGTTTATCCACAGAAGAGGAGACGGGGGTAACCAGTCACCTCCTGTGGACGGCGGTAACGAATAGCAGGAAGCTTCGTTCTCAACACTCGAACGTGTTGTCATGGATCCTGCAGGTGTGGCAGTGATGGATGCTGGAGGATTTGACCGAGTCGACTGGGGAAAGTCTGTCGGAGTCTTCTCGTTACAAGCTTCGCCATATTCAGCCGCTTTCTTACACTCACATGCAAATATAGATCTGCATCTTTGGAATGGATGTACCGAAAGCAGCGATGACGCAGATCGGTCGCGAACTGGATCTCTAGCTGTAGTTCGGTCCATTGACCACGAAAAGATATTAGAGAACACATGAAATGCATGGGTTTGACTGTCTGCCGGATGACGTCAGTGAAATTCTCCAGGTTTTGTCCCCCTTTCGCCCCGTAGTAAACGAGAAAGTGCAAGTTCAGACAGGTAGATCCCAGAAATCCACCCACGACCGAGCGACAAGTTCACAACATCGCTGTCTCACGGCTAGAATAAGAATAAGAATCGAACCATAACGGATGGAACGTTGTATGGATACACAGTCAGACGAAGAAGAGCAGCTGTAAGATAGAAAATGATTGTTTGTGTTTGTGTTTACATCTTCGTTCACAAGTTTGGGACGTCCCAACTGATGGATGCGATAAAGTCCACCATTTCGGCCATAACAGAGCCATGTAGTCCTTATTGCTCGTCAAAAGTGTCCGGTGAGAGCAGGCCCAGCTCATTGTCAAAATGGCGGTAGCTGTGTTTGTTATGGGCCTAGGCCTCGTCGGAAAAGCAGTGAATAATCTAGTCCTGATGTTGCTGAATGTGAAAAAAACCAAGCGGCACAGCAAGATCATTTCGAAGGAGATCGACTTGTTTGTGAAAACGTTGAACGAGAACATCAAGCTCCTGAAATTGAACCTGCCCGCCAGCGTGAGCAGACGAGCATTAGGTGCGTTGTCGTTGTCATTCTGTTTTCGGTTTCGTTTCTTGAGAACCGATGGCGGTCCCAGTCATTGGTCATTTTTTGGAGTCATGGTCACGCCTGCGACCCGACGAACATTGGACGGGTTAAGGAACTGGGAACATGAATAGGCAACATTTTCTTACAGAATTCAGTTGCCAACCGAGAGGCGATCAAGTGCCTGGGCTTGAACTCGTCGTGGCGCATCATACGAAGGAAGGGGCGGCGTGACGAAGCTTTGGACCAGGAATTGTCGGACAAGATGGCACATTTGAGCTTTGAACATATCTCCTCCAATTGCATCGGCAAATTTATCGCAGATTCAAGTTTTTCCGCCCGATCAGCCACACCAAACTTCTGCCTGTTAAGCTGCAGAGACATGAAAGCATAGACTCTAATATCAAGTTCCAGTGTTTCAGGGAAAAAAAAAATTTGTTTGCACTGACCTCTGCTTTTGTGCTGCTAACAGAGTCTCAGTGACGAAGCTGTTAGACGCGACTGCGTTTGTGCAGTCCCGCCAACGTCAGGGCTTTTTCAAAACCCTTTGGATGCACACGAGACTAAGCAGGAGTTAGAGATGCTACGTCGGAATCTCGACTCTTCATTTCAAATGGCTCTTTTCATCACCACTCTGGATGTGAGGTTCAGTTACTCCTGCAACATATTACTTCAGTTTCTTCATTGTTGCTATGGATCTTAAAGCTTAATATGTTTTATATACCTCGTGAAGCAGCATGGTCATAAGAAGATTTTGTTCTTCCACGCTCAACTTCGATCAAGTAGGCAGATAACATCCGAAAGACACTCAGCTTCATATACCCCAGAGTTTTAAAAAACGCGTTCTAAGGTTAACCCCTGCTTTTTAGCGCTGAAGATCAAAGTCGATATTCCAGTTGCACTAATCGCCAACAAAATTCCATTACCTGAGTCTTTTGGGATCGTAAATCTGCTGGTATTTTAAAACGATAGTGGATGTTATGGCTTTTATACAAGTCTCTTGGTTTGGCTTTCATCGGGGTTAATTGCATTGAAGGCTGTAGATCTTGACTATCAGTCTCTGAAGAAGCCGTCAGGAGAGTGCTGATCGACTAGAATAGAAAGTATGTTCCAAATTTGGCTCCTCATCCCTGAATCTGCAATTTGACATGTCATACTAGGTTGCTGTGGACGGGCATAGTAAAATGGAAGACTTTCAGATGAAGATGCTGGAAATTCACTGAACTCATGCATCGAGTTCGGAAACTGCAAGGAGTGAGATCCGAGATATACTCGTACCCCTTCTAGAAGGAGTACCGAAAAAGAAAAAGTTGCAGTCAGTAATCTCTGTTGTTCAAAATATGCATCAAACTGCGGACACGGAGAAGTTCTTCGCCGATGTAAGTGTCGAACTGGTCATCACCAACACATTTATTTTAAAGCTCTGCAACGCGTGTAGTTCTGAGAATATGTCCATGCCCTGCAGGTTCTAGCCAACCTCGATCCAGTTGCACCTATGGAGGATGCTGAGCAGTCTACTGTTACAATTGCAGATGATGACGAAGATATCAACGATCCCATCACTTGTGAGCTGATGTGCAACCCAGTTAAAGGAACAGACGGCCGCACGTACGATCGCTGGACCATCATCGACAACGATTTGACTATGAGTCCCTTTGATCAGAGCAAACGCAAGCCTTTCCGAATAGAGTGTGATGACATCAATGTCCGTGGACGTCTATTCAAAAGGTATCCCGAGGCAGAAGTTTTGTTTCGTCAACATCGTCACGATTACAGGAAAGGGTCTATGAAGCTGGCCAGAGAAGGCCACGATGCCGAGGCTCTGGTGATGTTAGAGAACGTTCTCAAGTGGGCCGATGACGATTCCGAGTGTTTAGAGCTTCGAGATTCGATCTTGAAAAGGAAATCCCAGCAGGACTTTGCAACTGGAATTAACATCCAGGTGCGGGAGACCAGTCGCTCACTCCCTTCTACGCAAAGCAGCCCAACTCTGCTTTCAAGATCGATCACCCTTTCGAGAGATCACAAGTTTCACATTGAAGAACATATTCAAAGAGAAAGGTCATTTGGTCCTACAAGCCCAACTCTCCCTTCTAGCCCAAGCTGGAGAGATAGTACTGATCTGAGTTACACACACTATGTTTTCCCGAGAGATATTCCTGATCTGAGTTACACACAAAATGAATATCCGAAGAGAAGGCAACATTTAAATAGTCGCCCACGGACACATGCAGGGCAGCGATGCACTCTAATCTAAAATGTATGGCTTGGATGAACAATAGGAACTAATCGAAAGGATAAGAGGATAAGGAGAGCAACCTAACACTAATACTAAAGTTAGTCTCGCTGAGATACTAACCTCATCTTACAACACCCCCTCTCTAGGGTAACACTAGCATTACAATATGTATACAGTACTTCATGACATATCTAGAAATAGAGCTGGTTACAATAGATATCAGGTTGTAGCACTTGCTTGTACTTCAGCTAATGACCTTAAACCAATAGAATCTCTATGCTTTTCAAACTTATGGCGCGGAAGAGTCTTTGTGAAAAGTTCTGCTGGATTGTCTTCTGAATGTATGTAATAAAGTTGAATTTCTCCTTCTAAAACTCGTTCTCTCACAAAATGGTGTTTGGCTTCAATATGCTTTGTCTTTGCGTGAAAGATGGGGTTGTGAATGTATGTAATAAAGTTGAATTTCTCCTTTTAAAACTCGTTCTCTCACAAAATGGTGTTTGGCTTCAATATGCTTTGTCTTTGCGTGAAAGATGGGGTTGTGAGCTAGTTTTCCTGCACCTTGATTGTCACACGACAAATGTAAATCAGCTAAGGTTGGAGTGTTGGCGTGCTTCAAGTTAGCTTGTATTTCAGAGTCCTGACATGCAATGGGAATTGAAGCTAGAGTATTGACTTGGAGTTCTGCTATCAATCGTCGTATGTAAATATCCTCCTTAGCTGCCTCGGACAGAGCCTTGTATTCAGCTTCTGTTCTACTGTTTGAGACAGTAGGTTGCTGCTTCGAGGACCAAGAGATGTGACCATCAGCCAATTTGAATAAGTAAGAACCAACTGATCGGCGAGTGTTGCGACAACTCAAGTAATCAGCGTCTGAGAATCCATGAAGTAAAGTTGAACTTTGGTGTTTGTAGAGGATATCAAAGTCTCGGGTGAAGTTGATGTAATGAAAAATATGATAAACAGATTTCCAATGGGCTTGTTGAGGTGAATGCATGTATCTACTGACCACACCAGTTGCATAAGATACATCTGGCCTAGTGTGGCATAGAAAAATCAATTTCGCTACGATATGACAGTAAGCCGAGACATCAACGGATGAAGTACAAGTTTCAGCTTCAAGTACGTGACCTATTGGGAGAGGCACGTGCTCAATCATAGTAGAGTCAACTTTGCATTCCTCAAGGAGTTGTGCAGTATATTGTTGTTGACGAAGAAACAAGTTCCCTTCATGTATGCGATAGAAATCCACACCAAGATAACGCAAGACAGGTCCAAGATCTTTCATCTTATACCGATGGTGAAGTTGAGTTTTTACTTCGGCAATTTCGGTAGAACTGTTATCGAGCAGTAGTAAATCATCGACATAAAATAGAACCACTGTAATGGTGCTGCCTTCACGAAGAAAGTACATGTTGGGGTCGAGTTGACTTCAACTCCAGCCAATGGATCTAAGATGGTTGTCAATTTCTTCATACCATTGCTTCGCGGACTGCTTAAGTCCATAAATTGATCTGTTAAGAAGACAAACTAGGTCTTCCTTGCCTTTGACCTCAAAACCCGAAGCTTGTTTCATGTAAATGAGCTCTTTCAACTTTCCATTAAAAAACGCAGTTTTTACATCCATATGATGTAATTCCCATCCAAGTGCTACTGAGAGTGAGATTAACGCACTTAGGGTTGACCACCGAACAACAAGAGCAAACGTTTTGTTATAATCGATGCCAAACTTTTGTTCCAAGCCACGAGCAACCAATCGAGCTTTTAAGCGTAGAGACATTGGGTCTGATTGAGGTTTGGCCTTAAAGACCCATTTTGAGTATAAGGCATGTTTACCTTCTGGCAGTGGCACCAGTTTCCAAGTGAAGTTGGCGATGAGAGAGTCAAATTCTTCTTGCATTGCTTTCTTCCAAAGTGGATTTTGGAGTGCTTGTGTGGCAGTTATTTGATCGTCCATTAGTCCTGTAGTCTCAACTATATTGATGAAGGTACGCCCTGGTATGTGATAATTGTCTCCAAGAAACTGTGGTAGTTGACGACTTGCTCGTGGAGGATTTCTCCTAGGACCAAGTGGAGTAGCACATTGCAGTAGACTTGTACGAGGAGAGTCAGGCAGGAAATTGCCGTTTGTAGAGTTATCAACTTGTGACTCAGGTGTGTGTAGTGGTGTGTGGAGTAAATTGCCATCTGAAGTAACAACCCACTCTGATGGTAATGTCGGGGTTGGAAGGTCATCCTCTGCATCAAAGCCACTGAAGAGGTTTACAAAATTGTGGGCATCCACAAAATTTCCAGGGATGTGCTCAAAGAATGTAATATCGTTGGTAATAACAATGCGACGAGCTAACAGATCCCAGCATCTGTAAGCTTTAGATTCATCATCGTAACAAACTAACACACAACGTCTTGCCTTGGGCTGAAGCTTCGTTTGTTTATCAGAGGGATTGTGCACATATGCAGTGCATCCCATTACTTTGAGACGTGCTAAATCAGGTGGAACGCCATATAATCTTTTGTATGGCGTAGTCAAGTTTAATGCACGCGTTGCACAACGATTTAGCACATAGTTAACAGCTCTCAAAGACTCCATCCAGAGATGAGCCGAAAACTTGTATGTATTGAAGATACAACGAGCTGCTTCAAATAGAGCTCGATTCTTACGTTTAGAGATGTCGTTTTGGTGAGGACTTGCTGCTGTAGTCAGTTGTCAAGCAATACTCTTTTGTAGACAATAGCTTTTGAAGTCCTTTGAAAGGTATTCACCTCCTCTCTCACTCTGAAGAGACGATACTCGTGGTGACCAATCATGCTCGGTGTGCCACACAATAGCAACTTTGTGTGGATAGAGATTTTCCACGAGCAACACAAAGTTCTTAAAGTGATAGAAAGTTTCACTTTTTAGGCGAAGAAACCGAACCCAAGTAAATCGAGTATAATTGTAAGTGAAGGTCAAAAGATACTTGAAGTCAACACCCGCTTCGAATGGACCACACAAATCACTGTGAACAAGTTTCAAAGACCGTGTAGTCTTCTTTTTGCTCTGTTTGGGTCTTCGAGTCTTGTGATGCTTCGCGAGCACACATGCTTCAAACTGACGATCTTTGCCGATGGCAAGCCTAGGATGGCCATGAACAAAACCCTTAGAAGCCATGTGGTAGGTTGTCTGATGTCGAATATGACACAGACGCTTGTGCCACAAATCAGTGGCATCAGAATGTGTACTCTCTGAATCAAAACGATGCTCTACTACAACCACAAAGTTGAGATCTGCAAACATGTTAGACGTGTATTTCTGCATCAAGAGGAGCTTAAGCACTGGTTGAAATGATTGCATGTTGACCCTATGCAGCTTGGAAAGTAGTTTGTACAGTTTGATGTGTGGGTCACGTTGGCCATATAGGTAGATGTTACTGAGATTGATTTTATCGATTGCAAAGCAATGAGCTGTAGTGAAAAGCACAATATGCCCCGAATCTATGAGTTTACCTACGGATAGCAAGTTCTTTGTAAGACCAGGCACGTAAAGTATAGGCTTTATCTCTTCATTTGCGTCAACACGTAGTATGACTTTGCCAACAACAGCTAGACGAGTTCCATTGGCAGTGGAAACTCCAGATCGACAAACTGTAGGTTGAAATGAACTAAGAGTACTTTTGTCACCAGTCACATGACTGCTTGCACCTGAATCTAAGAGATAATCACGTGATTCTCTAATTGCCATATTGGCTTCTAAGTCTATTGATTCATAGTCAGCTGAGTCATCTCTACTATCATCTTGGTCTAGAACAGCGTTAGCTTGTACCTTAACACGCCGCATGTTGGAGGCCTTGAGCTGCAACTGTGAAATCTGCTCGTCTAATTTCTTGAGATCACAATCTTGTTCCCAGTGATTAAATCTGCCATAGTAGTTACATCGAGTATTTGATTGAGATGACCCGTTAGAGTTACTCCCTCTAGCTCAAAAGTATTGTGTGGTACTTTGTTGGGAAGAAGGCCTTGAGAATAGCGGCTTGGAGGAGAACCGAGAGACAGCCTCTGCAGAATCTTCCTCCTGATGACTATCAATCCAGGTACAGTGAGTTTGCAAGCGCTGCACAAGGTCGGTAAAGCCTGGTGGTGGATCTCTGAAAAGATTGCTACTGAAGTTCAATACGAATGGAGCCCAAGACAAGGGGAGGCCCTTAAGAGTATAGTGAATAAGATCACTATCAGAAGGACGATGTCCAATTGCTGCAAGCTGTGTTTTGAGAGTCTGGATGGTCTGAAGATAGACGTCGACTGTAACCGGAGCACAAAGCTTGACAGTAGCCAATTTCTCAGTTAGCATAAGATGTCGCATAGCATTATTAGACTGATAGAGTGTGCGCATATAAATCCATAACTCAGATGGATTGTCCTCATATTCAGCAATAGACAAAAGGATATCAAGTAATACACTAGCCTAGATCATGGCAATGGCCTTCATTTGTCGGCGTCGAATAGCAACATCGTCAGCACCGCAAAGGGAAGCCGGATTGAGAATAGTGCCTTCGTATACTCCTTTGTCTCTCAGCATTGTCTTCAAACGGATTGACCAATTCATGTAGTTGACTCGCCCAGTGAGTTTCTCCTCGGGGCGTAACGTGAAAGCAGAATTGTATTGAGATTCTTCCATGGCGGCTGGAAGGACTCACTATCTAATAAAATACTACAGAGCAACTGCTCGTGGAGTAACAAGAAAATTTGTGATTACTATCACAAATCATCAGCCGCTAGAGGATCGGAAGAAAGCTCTGATACCATGTTGTGAGTTACAGATAGTATATTTTACTGGAGAGAAGTCAACATTTAAATAATTGCTCACGGACACATGCTGAGTGCAGCGATGCACTCAAACCTAAAATGTATGGCTCGGATGAACAATAGAAACTAATCGAAAGGATATTAGGACAAGGAGAGCAAGCTAAGACTAATGCTAAAGTTAGACTCGCTGAGATACTAACCTCATCTTACAACAATTCCACCTAGAAGCAAACAAAAACAAGGTATGTACAACTACTACTCGCGACCCAAAACTCTGGAAAAATGTTTTTATCTTTTGTTGTCAATGCCGGGATGTAGCCCAACTTGCATGAGCTCTAGAAGCATTGTTCCTTCAACAACCAAACATGGATAGCAAGAGGAGGCAATGCAAGAGGAAGCACTAAGCTTAGGGCACTTTCACCTTCTTCTTGTTCTGTACCGTTGTCAAGAACAAGTTCAAGTTAATTGCGCAGTACGTAGAAATTCTAAGAAAGTAACAATTGATTCAATTTTCTCAGTTTCCCCTTAGCCAGCGTTGCGATAGAATATATAGACATCAAGGTACTTGCAAGATGCAGTGGATGGAATTGAACCTGCTGTGCTTAAAGCAAATTGTGCTCATTCTGCAGAGGAGAAATCAAGGGCCATGATAATAACTATACACGAGTTGAAGAGCATCGTATGCCTCTTGTCCAATGATAGGCCCTTTATCAGGTATTTATCAAGTAACTTTGCAAATTTGACTGGGGATTTCAAGAACAAGGTCAATATGGCTATGTATCCAGAAGCACTGAAGAGTTTGGTAGGATTATTGACCTCGGACATACCCTACTACTCGAGTACTCTATACAAGGTTACCAGGGAGAATCAGGAGTATATGGCAAAAGTCCCGCAGTGTTTGAACAGGCTGGTACAGTTGATACGCAAGGAAAACCGCCGAGATGTATCCAAAGCGAAGCGGCGAGAGCTTTTGTAAACTTGGCTTTGCCAAAAGAATATAGATTGAAGATGGAGCATGTCAGCGATAATTTACATCGCTGACATATATGACGATACGTATTTATCGTCGCAGAGTTTAGCATACAGATATATACATACTTTCTATTTACATCTGATTTTATTAATCGTCTAGGGTTAGAGAACGAAGATTACATATTCAGGAAATCCGAAGATCTTTAAGTTCTTCTTCATTTAACGTGAAAAATACTATTATGTAATGATTTTGACCTGGCCCATCTAGTGAGTGATTGGATTGGGTTCCATTTTGTAATATTTTTGTAATTTGGTTTAGTAAAATTTACACTATTTGAATTCCGTAATGATATTTTTGGTTGTGTGCATTCTTTTTTTACAATACATATGTTTTTATCAAATTTTTCATTCTCAATGAACATATTGATTATTACTTTCAATTTTTATCTAATAGTCGAACTGGGTATTTATAACTAATACGCGTTTAAGTTATTATATAAATATTCTAAATAATTTTGATATTTTTTCTAATTAAATTTAAGATAATTATAATATTTTGCATTTTTTTCAACACCGTTTTGTTTAAATTTTTAAAAACAACATTTTTTAAAAAAATATAAATTATTATGAAATAACAATTTAATCATCATATAATGACGAGTAGATTTTTCCTATATACAATATTTCTTATACTGCTCAATATGATATTTATCGTCATTGTCTAATCTATAAACTCCAATTCATTAATATTTTTCTAACAATGTTTTTTGGCACAGGAATGAAGGGGGAATGCAAAAACAAGCTCGAAGTTATACTTGAGCTTGTGTGAGAAAAAACTTTGTATGTTTAAAAGTAATGTGAACAGACGTCCGTATGGTCGTTTTTTCATTCCCCTGTATAGTAAATGTAGGGGAATGTTAAAACGACCACCGATAAAATTTCCACATCTCGGTAGGACTGACGTGCGAATAACCATCAAATGTAGCAAGACTGGTTATCCTAATTATCCTACGTTAACTGTCATTGATATGTTAGTTAGCATTTGTGACATGCATTAAGACTAAGATACTCTGCTCTGCTCTCAATATTGAAAGCCCTTGTCCTTGGATTGAAGATGATTCTCTAATCAAATGATTCTCTACCAATGGCGCTCAACCTAGTGTTTTAGACATCAAGAGACACAGATATGGACTGGAAACTACAAGTTATCATTCACATCTCCTGATAGTGAAAAGGATCGGTTTTTATATAGAGAACTGCCTCGAACAGCAATTCTCCACCTTTCTCGTTTCATGCCGGGATTTTCATTAATTCTTCGCATATTAAACTCTAAAGATTTCATTGATTGATACAGCTCTACCATCATGGGACAGGGCCACATTCATCACACTATTAACTGAACAGGGTCAGTTAACTTCATCGATCACCACCTTCTTGTGTCAATCTTGGTTGTTGCGACAGGAAAAAGCACGGCGAAAGAGAATGAAACGAAAATGGATACAAAAGTGGTACTCGGAAGTTTCCTTGAAGCATTTTCACTGCATACTTTCTACCCTTCAAGCTTCATAGGCTTTTCTTTTGAAACCATGCAACATATCATTACTTCCACAAATGAAGATAACCGCAGGCAAGAAGGGAGTCGGACCCCAGGCAGGTGTCGAAAGGAAAGAGGTCCTCAGGAGGCTCTACTGGCCATGCCAGACTCAGGCCAAACTGTGGCACAACTTTGTCAATAGGACTCTCGTGCCGCTTACATGGAGGAACAGCCTCGAGGAGCTTAGAAGACATATTACAAGTTTCCTACCCAATTTCAACTAAACACAAACGACATGGATTCCCAAGTTCCCACCGCACTATTCAATAAAACTTCCTCTCCAATCTTAGTGTCAATTTCATGCGGACAGAACTTAACCCTCAGTCCAAGTCCATCTGTGCAACCTCCTTCCTACTTGAAACATACGCCCCAATTTGAGCCATGATACAAAGAACATGCCCTTTGTTATCTGAGGGCTTCCTTTGGGAGTAGCAACCTCTAATAGGAAAGATATGAAGGAGGTAGAGAACAGTTTGCATGTAGAAAGTATACAGCAACAGTGTACTTCTTTTCTAATCTGTCCCTATCAAGGGATTTAGAGAAGTGACTAGATACAGAAGTCCTTATTTGCGTTTCTCTTCTTCAATTCTCGTGAAGCCAATCCTCACTAGGCAACACTGTAACTTCCTTTAACCTTCCAATGTAGATGAAATCCTCCGCCTTACTAGTCAGATACCTCTTTTGATCAAATATCGCTGCGTAAAGCTACTAGTTGAACTTGCCGCAATCGCAAGTTCGCGCTCAAAAGTGTACAGTAGATGGGACAGGGATCACAAAAGTTTCTGGGAAGGCACCAGTTAAGCATGGTTGCTCATCAGAAAAGAGGTTCTAGTTTACATGTTAGAGGCTACAAAAGAGAACCCACATCTCCTCGACGGCACTCCTAATTACTCCCAAATGTTCGCATACTCCAAGGCCAAATTACAAGAAAAAATTAAGTCTTAAGCAAGCAGAGTATGAAGCACAACTGTGAAGCCCACTGAGCACCAGAGTGATGATCTCAAGAGAACAGAAGCATACGAGTTAGAAATTAGAACCACATACTCATATGAACATAAAATGTGTTTAAGACACCGCTCAAAGAAGGAATCGAGCTCACGGAGTCCCACAATCCACCATGACATATTCCAGATGTTCCGAAGACTGCCGAGCCAAGGAAAGAGGGCAAATTTGCATGGCATTCCCCAACACAAGCCGAAATCAAATATCGTACAGCAAGTCGCGGTTGATGGTAGTAGACTCTTTCAGCAAAATTGCTTGTGAAGAGATGGAAAATCATACCCTTCGTACAGATCAGCTCAAGTGAACTGAGAAGTAATCGCAAGAACTGGAATAAATCTAGTGCTGTGGCTGGGCCAGGAGTGTGATGACAATTAATCTTAACTTTTGTCGGTCTTGGCAGCGGCAGTTGCGGCTTGTCCTCGCAGACGTCCGGTTCTGCGGGCAGCAATAAGACCAACCTTTTGACCGGGCGGTGCGTCACGACGCACAGTACTGGCATGACCAATATGTTGATGGTTACCTCCTCCGTGAGGATGCTCAACTGGGTTCATAGCCACACCACGAACCTTAGGCCAGCTGTTTCGCTTCACCTTGTACTTGTGGTAAGCGTTTCCAGCCTTCAACATGGGCTTCTCGGTACGTCCCCCTCCGGCAACTTGCCCAATCATGGCACGACATCCACTTGGAACGATCTTCTTAGCTCCAGATGGCAATTTAATACTGCAGGACGGCGCGTAAGAATACCAGGATCAGTTCTACGAGCCTAGTGACGGTAGTGGACGCCAATTACTCTTTCATAAAAGAATAATTTCGCTGAATGCTAAACTCGATAGTTCAGAAAACCCTAATGCTCGAAAATACTAAAACCTCTAAAAATCGAGGATCAAGAAGGATCATGGTAAGACGAATTTCCATCGACAAAGTACTGTGTACAAAAAACAAAAAACATACTAGCTCAAATTGGCATTCAATGCTGTTACGTCTCGAACTGAAATCTAAATTTTAGATATCTAAAACAGGGGATAAGTGCATATGAAGTGTACATTCAAGCCTTGCATGGATCTTAGCAGTAAGAACTAACGCAAAGACAGCAAAAACATACATTCTATGAGTTCCAAGACGAAATTGAAGTTGAACGCAATCTTGGTCGAAACCAACATACCGAGAGGTTCCGTTATCAGGGTTGTGACTGATAACGATGACGTAATCACCAGAAGCGCGGGCAAACGCACCCCTGTCTCCCATACGGTGCTCAACATTGCAGACGACAGCTCCCTCGGGAACCGATCGAAGGGGCAAAACATTGCCGACAGTCAAGGCAGCCTTCTTTCCACAGTACAAGAACTGACCGGTGTACATACCCTCAGCGGCGACAAAGAGCTCCTTTTGGTGCTTGAATCTGAACGCATGTCTGAAGGTCACCTTGGCCAGAGGAGCTCCACGGCCAGAATCGTGGATAACATCCGAAACGACACCCTTGATGTAGCCATTTCTCTCGGCGTAATCGAGCGACCTGAACCGGGCAGGCCCTTTCCTTCGGTGAGTGTGGGATCGGAAAATACTTCCCGCTCCCTTCCTCTGTGCTCGAATCACACGACCCATCGTGGATGCAGCGGCAAATTCTCGTCAATTTCTCGGGTTCTCTCTCGAGCTCCGCTCGAGTTGCAAAGAGACTGCCATCGTCGCCCCGTGCACTACAAGGACTCTAACCCTAACTTCCATCGCCACCCCCAATCGCTATCGCCACCTTCCATGCAGTTTCGCCACTCCCTCCGCTGTGGACTCCTTGGGAATCTTCCCGCTCCTGGTCCTTCCGCCTCCTGTTAATGTTATTCTGCCCAAGGGCTCACCCTAAGTGGTAACAGATAACAACTAACGTTCATGGGTCCAACATAGGGGCGGGTATGTTCTTCCGGCAAAGGGTTTTTTTCTTCAAGAGCCTGGAATGTTGTGGATCCTAATTTCATATCGAGGGTCTTGGTCGCCACTTTGCTCAAAACTTGCCAGGTTCTGTGATCCTGATTCTGTGAGTTTGCAGATATCTTGAGGTAATAATGCCACAGACTTGATATTGGATCAATCTTCGGATGCAGATCTCTGGAACACGTGTCAGAAATAAACCTTGGATGTACAAAGTCATCGGATACCCTCATGTTTCAGTTATCATAAGAAGAAAAGTTTCATACAAGTTACTTACTTTCAGATGAATTTAAGTTCTTATTAGTTGTGTGTGTGCGTGCATTTCAGCCTTGTAAGTGTCATTCGAGATTGTGAAGCTGCAGCCCTTTTGTTAGAGGCTCAGAAGAGAGCTTCGATGCAGACGGTTCTCAGCCGTCAATGTTGTGTTATCTTCAATGTTGGCTTCGTAGTTCAGAGCAGCAGAGCAGCAGGTTAGATCGGATCTGATCTAACCTGCTGCTGACCCCGTCTCTTCGCCAGAATATTGTCAATGTGTGTATCTCACCAGCACAATACATTCATGTGCGGTCGGACCCAAGGGGGTTTCAATCCTGGAGGTCTCGTGTTTCGGATGGGCTGAAGAAGCCAGCTCTAGCTGGAAAGCCCTTGAGCATCAACCGAGGTGATGAGTGTTGTCATCCAGTGTGCCTGTCATGGGTGTCGTATATGAAGGCAGACACCTCTTGGAGTACCGAGGTCGTTTCTTAGGTTCAACCTATTTGTTGACGATCTTCTCTTGAACTCCGATTTCTTGTTGCACTAGCACTACAGAGGTTCCGTGTCGAATGGATGCACTCAAAGCACCTTCGAAACTTGTTTTGAAGGAGAGCCTCCGCCTTTCAGAGCTCGAACACTCGTGGTCGGATTCCTTCCTTGCGATGATCATGATGCAATCGACATCACTGACGAGCGAGAAGCATTCCCAGCGGTTGTTCGGCCACCAGATTAAGTGAAACTGAAACACGACTGTGCCAACTTTACTCGCTCGCAAGTCCAAGCAGCTCGGTTGGATTCTCTCCACTGATTCTGAAAAGGAGCTAAAGATCCCGCTTGAACAATAAGGTCCCAACTGCCGTGAGAGAATTTCCTCTGCTCGTGCCATCGAGGAACGACCAATTTTCCTCGCCCACACCCCATCTTGTGTTCATGTTCCTCAGCCTCGTCTGTTGGTCTTTTGGACGCATCGAAACTGCTGGATTCATGTGCTAGCTATTGCATGTGCCCGATCCAAGCGAATTGCACCGATGAGAACCAATGGCATGCCTGCCTCGCAATCTGGGAGCACCAAACGCAGATGACGCAGAACTAGCACTGTCAGTCTCCGCCTGCCATTCGAAACACAAGCAGAAGTGGCTTTGGACCGGAAAGAGCTCGAGCTCCAGGCGTGAATGCGGTGACAGGGGACATTCTCCTATTAGCTCCGAGTCGATCGGAGGAAATGTAGGAACGTGAAAGTGATCACACTCTCGTCAAGTGTGTAGTGATCAATTAGTCCAATATCCCGTTGCAAGATTCAGTGACGAGAGGGTAAACAGAACTGAGTTTAGTCTGTCTGGCAGGCAGGCAGGCAGGCAGGCAGGCACAGACACAAACACAAACAGCCCGGACCCATATTGTCGTCGATTCAATCGATGTCAATTCAATATTTATCGCTCGAAGCAGTCGAGCATGCAACCGAACATGTGATGGATGATGCATTCACCCGTGGACTTTGATTCAGCTTCACTAAATGTGTGGTAAAAGCCTCGTGGGGCGAAAACTGAGATAGAAAATCGAAAGAAGAAACTGAATAAACAGCGAGTCGGCCCGAATCTAAGTTCGGCCCCGCCCGCCACTGAGCCGAGAAAGGCTTGAAGAAGGGCAATACGTGTAGCCGAGTTGGGGTCGGTCGGTGGTCCCTCGTTGCTTCACAACATCTCTTTATCGTACTGGTTGTCATATCTTATTACAGTCAAATTTGATTAGACAGGTCATGCACGAGCAGGAACGGTGCTCACGATGCGATCTCCGATTTCAAGGGCATGGAAGCATAAGTGCTCGATTACGCGGGCACAGATTGTCCACCTTCGTCCAAAGAGGCAACTGGTGAATGGCATCACTCTCCTTCGTCGATGTCACGTGTTCAAAGCCGTCTCGGCCGACAGTGACGTCGACCTTTTTCCAGATTCGTTCGATGAAGTTCATGAATCCCGCATTTCGAAGGCTTGTCCTCCCATGCTGCAAAATGATCCTTTCTTTTCACGAAACCTCGTCCGCAGCCCCGCAGGCCTGTTCGGTCTCCTTCCTAATTTCGGTCCACGAATCATCCATCCATCGATCCAGCATGTTTGTGCTTTTGGTCGGGGAGCTGAGCGTGTTGTATGCAGCAATCATTAGTGCGGTCTCTGGATGGTGGCAGTGAGCATGGGGACATGAGAGACAGGCCGTTGAAATGGATATCTTTATCACGGAAGAGCATGAATGCGCAGACGAGCTCCATCGATCAAATGCATGAATCGGGACCGCAGGAATCGTGTGCATACGATTGCACAACGAACTGAGCACTTTATGAGACCCGGTTCCCTACATTTACGACCATAGGAGAGCTCGTAGACGCTGATCAGCATTCCCGGACCAGGCCCTCCCGTATCTGGTCGGCATGCAATTTGCCATGGTTTCTATAACTCGGAAGGAACCTCGAGTTATTGATCAGTCCTCGGGTGGTGACAAATTAAGTCATGAAGTATTTCATTTTTGTCCTTGAGGCGTCGATGTCCCTGATACAAGTTCCGAGTTACTGGATTCCTGGCTTTCATCTGCGCTGAAAGGAAGGAAGGAAGGGAAGTCTAGTTGACGAATCGACAGTTGGTACGAATTTCTCCCGCGGGAGCCTCGATCACATTCAGAATTTGCATTGCGATCATGGAGGCGGCGAAGAACGCAGGTTTGTCCAGAGCAAATTGCTGGACGATGGTCCGGGTATCCTCGGCGGCAGAGACCAACACCTCATCGGAGTTCAGGATGCCTTTGTACACGACCAGGTTCTGATAATACGCGTTGTCGAAAGTAGTGGGAGTCTGGACGTCCAAGCCCGTCGTGACGTTCAGGTCGCCGCCCTATGGGCAGTAGCCCGGAGAGTTGCCAGCAATCCCAGCTCGATGCTCGGATCCGGCAGCCCCGTTCCTGTGAAGTTGTACATTCTGCCCACGATGTTCAGACACCTCACTTTCCCGATGGTGTGGGCTCCTGCCTCAAACATAATAAGCAAATTTAATTCCATGACATTCTGAAGCCCGAGCAATCGAGTCCGTTCCTTTGAGGAGCAAATCTTCCATATGCGGCACAACCATCAACTGTCCAAACTAGCATCAGTCAATCTCTGTTACAGGTGGAATCAAACCGCAGTCTCTGTGAAAGGCAAGCGTTTTCATTTTATCTGACATTCGATGGCCATGCACTGCGAGCTGGAGATTATTGTCATATGCCGAAAGTGCAGTGGCTCGACCTTGGTCCGAGAGAGATTGGTGCCCAGATGAGGTGAAGCAACCCACCCGAAAGACTGACGAGGTTCCAAGTCGAAAGGCCGAGTGTGGCGAAGGATGACTTCAGCGCGTCGACGTCGTCGTTTGGATTTGGGATGAATTGTTCGACGGCCTCCAGGCTTGCAGTAAGACTGTCACGCCTTCCGAGCCGAACATCGCACCAAGTCCGCTGCTCTGCAGCAATCAAATCCCAGGTAATCAATTCTCCTTCCTAGATCTGAACGTCCACGTAAAAAGCTGCCGAAAAGATCAAAGCTTCGGCGCTGCGACAGCAGCAGAATTGAGCATGAGAATGAGAGCATCCTGGAAGACACACACAGTTCAGAAAGAAAGAAGCAAACGAGTACCACGATGACAGAATCCCGGGCGATGAGAGATCAGATCAGCGCAGGACACAACGCCAGGGCATGCGGCCTCGACAGAAGCCTTGGTGGAATCCACGACGTCGAAGTCCCTCAAGCCGTTGAGGTTCGGAGGAGCGGTTTTCTCTACTGTGAAGATCGGCGTGTCATCCAGCAACACTGAGCCATCACATCCCTGGAATCCATCAAATGGCCGATGCAACGGAATTGTATGTACGTACGTAGGCATCGAGAGAAAGTATGCTACCCATAGTACTGCGGTAATTCTTCCAGTTGCATCGAGTATATGAGTATGTTTCAGAGTCCATTGTATTACAATGGATAGTGTCGGCGAGGGAAGTAGTACTCGTACGTGATATTCCACAAAACAGCACAATACTGTCACTGTTTCGATCTTATGCTCGGTGCAGCAAAGTGTACCTTTGCCACATACACGTAGCACCTTAAGAAAGGCCCTACGGACCTACTCACTCATAGAGATAAACGCCACCAGCCTGTTTCGTCTATATAGCTCAGAACTCGGTCGGTCGGAGAATTGACGTGAATTTGCTACCACTCGGTCACGGCTTTAACTAGAGGAAAAACGAGTACACGATCCGTGCGAGATCCGCGCTGAATCTTATTTTGTGCGGTAGAGCTTCCGGTATGCACTTGTGGATTTCTCTTCGGATCAAAACCTTAGAGAAATCGAAGCGTAAAGATGTCAAAGGTAGGAATTTTTAGGATTCACGATTTGAGAGCTTCGAGTGGAAAACTGCTGTTGCGAGAGGAATCACGTATCGAATTGTATGACGACGTCTCAGAATCTTGCAGAGAAAAC